TTGATTATCATAAATCTCAGAAAAATAATCCAAAGAAGCCACACTTTTAGAAGCACTTGGTCTAAGAAAATTAGTTTCGGGCACAAATTTGATTGCAAAAAATAATTGATAATATTGCTATATATAATCAATTCAGAATCTTGTATTACAATATGTGCTGCAATGAACTATAGTACCAGGATCCTTTATAGAGGAGGGAAGGGCCAATGTCAGGGATCCTCTCTTTCCAATGATTATAATGGTTACAATCTAATACAAGGTGGATCGTGACACAATTTTTTATAATTAATTATATTATTTTAAAATTATAACAAGTGATTATGTTTATCATAATTGATTACTAGACCAAAAAAAAAAACATTCCTGCATTGCTTAGTGAGAGATGCATTTGTGAAAATTATAATTGATTACATTATTTGTAAGCACTTATATTTTTTTTCAAAATAAATTTTAACAATTTATAACAATTAGATTTTTTTTTTTTTTGGGATTTAAGTCAAAAAAATTATAAATGCTAAACCAAACCAAGTTATATTATGTATAACCCTTCCTTAGAAATACTTCCTGGAAAGGAGGATACGAACCCGGCCCTAGAAGGGTGGCCTAGAAATTTTCTTAAGAGAAATTCGTCTCAAAATATTCAAGAACTGATTTTCAAACACATTCAACCTAAATAAAAAATAAAAATAAAATAAAAAGACTACATGCGGTCCGATGGTAAAGCATGTTTCCTATGTTAATTAGTGGAATAAATCTGAAAATGGTAACCAGCGCGTAACCGGAAAATGACCGGAGGTGATAGAAGAGGTGCTCGGAGTAGAATCAAGTCCAATGAAGACGATTCTATCGGAAAGATTAAACCGAACTTGAAGCTCTGCCGGGGGAGGAGTAGAGCTGACGGTAGCGCACTTCAAATTCTCACCGCCAATCTCAAAGTCGTGCTAGGTTTCAGCATTTTAGCGTTCTTAATCATCTTCTTCACCATCCAACATCTGATGAATCAAGCGGAAGAAGTTCAGACGGCTAGGGTTGTCACTCCGTTTCCTGCTCCCAAAATCATGGACCTGCCTCAGGTGGAGCAAATGCTTTAATTTCGTATATCCTTTTTTGGTTTGTTTTAGTCAATGGCGCTGAAAAATGGATGACTGGCTGTGACAGTTTCAAGGCGAGCACAAAGAGAGCATGTACTGGGTACTAACCTCCAGGTATCCAGCATTTGGCCTAACTAATTGGGAATCGACCCGCGTCAGACTGCATAAGGGCAGCATGTACTGGGGAATCTATCGTCCTTATGTTTATTTTGGAATCCGCTCAAGGTATTACCACATTTTTTTAGTAGCAAAGCATGATTTCTTCTGTTTTCTTTTGTTTTGTTTTCTCAGATTTGCTTTATTTTGTTAAGCATGATATTATTTGTTTGACTTTTAATGCTTATAATGGGAATGGCGTTAAGAAATCTTAGCTGTTTTGTACTGCTACCATGTTGATTCATTCTTTGTGTATTTTCTTTTCATTCTTGGCTTTAGTTTTCCTTAGCAAATCAGAGGAGGTATGGTGTTAATTAGCTATTGTTCTTGCGATTGGCAGGACTCCTCGCTCTTTAATTGCTGGATTGATGTGGATTGGTTTGAAGGATGGAAAGTATTATACGACATGTCTGTCAAGACTCTGATGAGCTAAGCAGATATGGGTGGACACAGCAAGATATGGGTGGACACAGCATAATGGACGTGATTTTGGACATCAACTGCTGGTTGACCAGGACATGACCCTGGAAACAAGTTTCTTGAAATCTAAAGGGGATGGCAGTGGCTATGGAGGTGATTGGGCAGTAAGGATTGATGTGCAAAGTGAGAAGTAATTGTCTGAACTATTGCAAAGTGAGAAGTTTTTGCTTTGCTAGTGTTTTCCTTTTTGTCAAAAGAGTCATAGTTTTCTCTACTTGTTTTGTGTTTGATTAGCATTATGCCTGTTCACACATTTTCTGGATGAAGGAATATGACATGTTTTTTACATGATAATGAAACCATACGTCTTCAGACATAGTCAATGTCTTGAAGAAAAATAAATTCACAGCCAATGAAAGCAATGAAATCACTTCCTTCCTAGAACAGGCTTCTGTTCGCCTTGAAGTATGGTTCCAGTCGTTCAATACTACCCAGTCAGGTATGCATCTTATTTTATGTTTGGGCAGAGTTGTTGACTTGTTGTAAAGAATATGGTGGTCAGGGTATGTAGAGCTGTGGTTCTTGATGAAGCTTGAGTTAAAACATACATTAAATGCATCACTGTGATTAACACCTATAAAATCTTCTTTCTTCCATTATATTACTTTTTTCAGTAGTAATATTGATGTGGTTTTTTAAGCACTGCTATGGACAATTTTTTCAAAACCTGCATAGGTATAAAGAATTCAAAGTTCTCTGAGTATTTTTTTTTTTTTAATTATGAGCTAATAATTACTGGTGGAATCTTCACTTAAAAAACAAAATTAAAAAGTAGAATGTTCTTAACAAAGAAGTCAAAAATAACCAAAATATTTTGGCTTCACACCAAGTTGTTAATTTGTAAACTTTTAGCTGCAATTGCAGGTTCCTTAAATTTTTGCTTTTTAGTAAATTCTTGTTTTTGATGAATACCACAATTATTTCTAGTACCAGTAGGTGCCTTTTTTATGGCAAAATAA